ATTTTTGCTTACAGCCCTAGTACATAAACTATTTTTATACAATAATAAAAGGTTGAACCTCAATCTTGAGTGCCCCGCCCCTAGAGTATCGTGAAGGGGGTAAATCGCGGGATGTGTCTCAGAGGCCAGAATACAAGAGCTGTCATACTGATGCCCACAAAGAGTAAAAAACCAGATTGAGCCTCATTTACAATTTTCAATAAAATTTGAGGGGGGCTAGGTAAAATCCTTTTTTCCATATCATTTGAATAACTATCACATCTATGAAAAATTCAATGAAAATGAACTCATTATAGCGTCACACTACGTTAATCTAAATCAAAGGTTTAGGATTCTTTTTAACATTATTAAATCAGGCAAGAAGCAAATTAAAAGATGGTCCATTTATGAATTATTCTTTTCACAATGTGTCTCAATCAAACTCCCATACTATAATAAATTATATTATGAAAAAAGGCATTAAAATATGAAAAATAATTTTGTGGCCCATCAAAATTAGAATGACTAAGTGGAAGAAGAAACAAAAGTAAGATTTGAGATTCCATTATATGATTCTTTGTGTTCCGCATTATATGCTTTCTTATCAATATATACACCTTTCAAATCAAACCCATATGGGCCATATATAAGTTGAAAATTAGAATATATTAGGCTAAGATTAATCATAACGACGTAGAATATCTACTTATTTCTAACAATCCTGTATTGTTAAACCTCAATTGAATTTGAATAAGTTGGGTGTTATTGGAAATTAGGTTAAACTAAAAATGTTTTTGGATTAATTTAATTTTTGTTAAAATGTGATATTTTAACGTTTAAGTCAATCATGAATGAGGTTCAAGAAAAAAAAAACTAAGGGTTGTGTGGGTTAGCTTTTTGAAGCAAAAAAATTGATTTTATAATCGTTACGTATGAAATCAGGCCATCTTTTTTGAGCAGCCATCTCAGAGGCGAGGTCTACCTTGACAAAGCAATGGTCAATATTTCAATTTTAAGCCGATGAAGAATCAGCAACAGACACGTCCTAAATATTTGGACATCATAAACGAGGTATATAATATCGAGATAGTTTTGCAAACGAAGATCCTCATTGCTCAAGATTTAGACCATTTATATATGTATAGTGAGCTATATTGAGTTGATTCACGCTCGAGTTCATGATAAGCCTCTTTTAGACGTAACACAACAGGAAGATAGCAAATATATTTTAATAAAATTAAAAGAAATGCTTAAATATAAATATCTCACTATCAAGAATTGATTATCACTATGCTCAAGAAAAGTGTGTGCATATTGCAAACCGTCAATGCAAAGCCGCCTCAATCTTTATACAAGTGAGGTATTCGTCTAAGGCCCCACATTTAGACAAAGCTTTCAAAGATTAGGAAATTTTATTCCAAATAGTTTTAACAACACAATCCCCGAGTTAGACTTTGTCTTGGTGATAAATTTCATTTATAGATGAAATTTCTTCAATAAATAAAGTAATAACAATTTGAAAATTAAATAATAATGACAAAAAATTCTTTGGGAAATAAAATAATAGTTACAAATAAATAAACAAATATCTAAAGTTCTATACGGAATTAAATAAATATAAAATACAAAAAAAATTAAAAATAAAGAATAACATTGTAGATAAGTGCTTCTCCATCGAGGGTTGCCGACAATATCATTGACAATATTATCTTTGATAATCATTGTCAGAGGTGCGTTGGTGATGATCGATCGACAATATTGTTATAGTTAATCCAGTGTAAATCATCTACATATATTTATTTCCGTTAAATAGGAGACCGTAATATTGTCGACCACTATAAACAAAAATTTCATCGATTTCATTTGCTCCATTAATTTTTATTTTATTTTTCATTATTGTAAGACTCATCCAAAGTTTTTGCTTCATGTTCTTAAAGATTTTGCTTAACAAGCTAAATTGTTTAAGGTGCTTCTACGACAATCCACTCCACGTACCTATGTGTACATATCTACTTATCGTGGTTGGTCAAATAAAAAAGTAACAAAAATGAATCTTGATTAGCGTGACAACAAAATGTATTATTCTTCTAGCAAGTATTACTTGGATTATTCTAACCTTTAGTAACTTCAAACTACTCAATGTTCATCCTATTCACATTTCAGATTCCTTTCAAAATAAGAAAAGTTCTATTTGTCCAAGCAATTTCTCTATATTTTCCAAAGAATTAGATCTCAGAAGTTTAAAAGAGAATATTTTGTGTTACAACTAAAAGAATACAACAAGCAATTATGTGTAAATCGCATTCATTATATGTCGCACAAAATAAACGTGCACGTACTCGCTCGACGTGAACAAAATGATATATCTAACAACTTAGAATCTATCAAAGACAAAACCTTTTTTTTTCCAAAAAAGAATAAGCATGCCTTCAATGTTGAAATTATTTTTGTGAATAAGCATGCCTTCAAATGATTTATAAAAGTACATTTATAGCAGTTAGCCCCATTCAGTTCTGATAAAAATTAGATTTTTAATAGATTTTGATAAAGTTGATAAAATAGGTAATTGAAAATTTGATAACAGTTGCGAGTTCTATGAAATGTGCTACTGTAAATTAGTTAAAGGAAAAATGAGTTTTAGAAAATGTAGGACCAAACCAGGACTCAATGTATGTTGGTCCATATTGAGATGTTTTCGCCTTTCATTTTAAACCCTATTCCTAACCCCTTAAAAAATTGTAAAGAGGAAGGGAAAAGAGAAGTCACAAACCTCTACGGGTAAATATGGGTCGAACCATTGGTGCCTAGGATGGCCCACTTAGCCAGGCATGCTTTCAGGTCTCGCGAGTCCATATTTCATCAACTTATATCAAAATTTACCTTTAACAAAATCAAAGAGGGGCTTAGATTTGATTTTCAGACAAGATTTTTCTATGCAAATGTTGCACAATTCAACCAGTTTACACCTCTGATTCAAGCATTACATAATAAAAAGATTTGAACAACAAATAAAATATCAACTCAAGTAACCATTGTTGTTCATTGCACTATGACATCTTTTGCTATGCAATTAGCACACTTCTTCAGCAAAACTAGGCAAATCACCATCATGTCCTCCTGCCGCATTTCCTCCCTGCCTCCCATCAGCCTCAAGGTTCGGTGGCTGCTCCTCCAATGACTGCCGGCACGTCGGGCACGTAGAATGCGAAGCCAACCAAATATCTATACATTTCACATGGAAACAATGGTGACAATATGGAAGAACTCTAACCTTTTCACCATCCATAAATTCACCAAGACATATTGGACAATCTGTAAAAGCTGCAGCATTATCATGTCCTGATCCATACTCAGCTACCGGAATCTGTCGCAGAGTCCTCTTCTTTAGGCCCTTTCCGACCACTCCCCGGGGCGTTGTTTGGTCGATTGCATCCAACGTGAACCTATTAGCACATCGCAGTATACATCTTACTATCGAATTTATCCCAAGTGCACATATTAGTGCACATAACAAGGCTGCCAAGATGATGACCATGTTCGTGTCGAAATTAGCCTCACTGCTTTTACCATTATGCGTTCTTTCGCTGGTATCTGAAACTACCTGTTTGTCGAGAAGGGAACGACGCGTGTGATGATATAAACTCATCAGATTTGAATTGGTTCAATGATCAAAAGTACCAAACAAGAATGGTCTTCTTTTTAGAAAAATCAGCAGCTTTTGAAACTGTTCAACCAATTAAGTATGATGAATTATGGAAAAAGGCTGCAGTTTGCTCTGCTCCAACAAAATTCAACAGCAAATCGGACTACAAAGGAAATGGAAAGAAGAGCATTCATCTCCCTCATATAATCACTAATCTTTGTCTTATACTCCACTTTTCAAGAATTTATACACTCTTGGCACGTTTCGGTAAGGTGGATTAGACAAAAAAAGGAAAAATAGTCAAAATTTTGTTAACCGTGCCATCTAATACTGTATACCAAACACGCTCTCTATGACAAGGCAGGGAAAAGGGAGTTTCTTGGTTTTCAGTGCAAGATTACCAGAAGTCTAACCAGCCTCTAATACATAAGCCTTTCAAGAACACAAATTTGATCCCTCCAAAAAATCAAATGAATCCTTTACCGACCTTTCGTCTTAGTGTCTTGCTTCGCTATCTGTAGACACGTGCTTGGCACCGTTTTAAGCTTCCCCTTTTGAACTATAATCCAAAGGGATGTTTCTGAACTATTTTCTTGCTTCAAGAGACACAGAATTGAATTCTTGGTGCAAAAATAGAAGACGATTTTGTACTAATATGAAGATGTTTTTAAATGGCAAAGGACAGACTAGTGAATATAAAGGGGAAGATACCTAATGAGAGCAAGTATGATGTGCTTTTGATCTGTAGGGATTTTCAATGTTTTTTTTTTTTTTGACAGACTTAAAGGACATAACTTTATAAACAAGTAGAAGACTGCAAGATGATGCTTGAGAATTTTGATTTATGGTATCTGATCCCACATAATCACAATTAGCTTGAAAAAAAAATGCCCATTCTCAGCACCAAATCCTTTTCCCACTCCTGCTCTCCACCTTTGAATTGATTAATAATGCTACTCATAGTCACGGCGGCAGTAGTTATCGCATATTATGTGGCATAATCTTATAATTAAAAAAAAAATTTATAAAACATGTTCATATTTTGTAATTACTAAAATTATGCTACGATAGATCACTACTGTAATTATTGACTATGAATAACAATACTCTTGAATTGTTAGGTGAAGTAATTCCTTAGGGCTACAATATTTGATTAGGCCTTTAATTACGTGACAAGTTGGATCATAGAATTCGCTTATTAACGTAATGAAATATATTCAATACAATACGTCTTATCTTCTTTTTTTCATTTTTCTTTTACGTGAAATTGAAAAACTATAATCAATTTTTTCAACTATCTAAATCCACGAACAAGGAATCTAAAAAGCAACTTGCTACTGAAATATCTATACTCAAAGAACCTTTACTTTTCACGTTAGAATTTAAGATACCCTCACTAATCATGCTATAAACACTTCCTATCAAGAGCAAGTCGAGTCGAATTCAAACTATAATACATGGTTTCTCATCACACTTGAAAAAAAAACAAATAAATATAGAGGGTCAAAATTTGCACGAAGCCCATAAACCCTACTAAGGTGCATATGGTCAAGTAGTTGGTAATTAACCCATGGCTTAGGGAACCAATAACTTTGTGGACCTTGATTTCATATATACGTGACACGAGTAACTTGTGGGCATGATTTTTGATCAAGATCATGTCAAATCTTCACCTACTTTGCCAACATTAATAATTTCAGGGTTGTTATGAGGTGAAAGGAATGGGCAACGCTTGAGGACAATAAAAGTTGCAGTCTTACTTAACTCATGATACTTATGACTTTGATATGGAGAGGTGTAACCCACCGTGCTAGGAGGAAGTGCGGCCGTGGCGGCGGATTAGAATGTGTTCTAGAATACTTTGTGCTTGGGCATATCGATCGACTTTAAACTTGTTTAATTGGTTTTTATTTATGAGTATTGTTAAGAGGTAGTATACTTAGTTGACCCACAATTTTAAAGGTCTCGTGTAGAAACGAGATTGAGGTCATGTTTTGTACATATTATTTTTTTCATTCTCATTTTTCTACTCATTTTCAACCACACATTCTTCAATAAAATAATATTTTCCATCACATCAATAACTTTTCCTTTTTTTTAAACCACACATTCTTCATCAATCTATTATTCAATAACACATTCTTTCAAAAGAATGTGTCCATTCTTTCAAAAGAATGTGTCCCAAACACCCTCTGAGTATTGAACCAAATAATTACAACAAAGAAAATCAATTTTCATATCTGTTATTTGAATTCGTCAACCCTTATTCCTCGATTTAGATCCAAACATAGACAAATACCATTAAATTATCATTTCTTGTCATATCTTTATTGTCAGTTAAAAGAAAAAAAAAATTTCAATTCTACGGTTCAATATCTGAAGGCCACTTATATTTTGCCTATAACTATTATCGGATTGATGATACGCTTTCAATCCCTTTCATTTCTTTGGTTATCTAGAGGTCAAATCAGGTCAAATCAAGATCTAGTTCCGAATTTTGATAAGATAATGTGTTTTAGTTAGATTCTTACCTTCTTATTTTATCAAGTGTAAATTAACCTGTTATTATGCACAACTCGTCGTATCACTAACCCTTTAAATCACTTAATTATAAATGATGCTCAAATCCCAGATAGAATAAGGAATCGACTTGGCTCATGTTCGACCACCATTTCTTAAAATTCATTTTTCTTAAACTCATTTTCAATCATGCTCCATAATTTTTATTAACTTTTTGACCACGCCAATTTTATCCAAATCTACTAAAAATCTATTTTTTTGAATCAAAACTAAACAAGTGCTTAAACTTGCTTAAGTGGGACCGAGTTTGTAAGCGTTATTGCATAGGTGTAGACTTCTTTGATCCACCATTTTAAAGGCTGTGTAAAGATTTGGTGGAGAACGTCAACTATTGAAACAAACATTACAACAAACAATAATAGTTTAACATTGTGACTCTTGTGAATTACTCATTTCTACTCGAGCTCCATCGTGGACTATTTTCAACCCATCAAAAAAAAAAAAAACCGAAAGGTTCGAGTGGAACAAAACAAACGATGTCTAGCCAAGAGCACCTTTATTCCTATATAAATAAGATATAGCGTGGAAGTAAACATGTTATTAATAGAACCTTCTTCAAAAGGTTTAAAGGGTATGTTACATAACAGATATATTGTTCTACTTCTAGTTATGGTGGTCCTCCCAGACCGTCGGGATTTTGCGAAAGAATCAAAATTTAAATCTCACCCGAATTGCTCCATCTATCTTCTTGAGGAGAGGTTGGTTTCAAACCTCGATTCAAACAGGGGGAGTATGCCATGCTAATGAGCCTATGGATCAAAGCTTGATCTCTAGCAAAGTCGCTTAAGAATCGAAATAAGAATGATTGAAAATGAAAACACAAATCAAAGCCATGATCGTATCTCCATGTATTATTCATCCTGGTACCTTTAACGAAAAATATCAAATGAATCCCAAATTGACTGGTTAGTGTAAGCTTATCCATGTGATTATGCATTAAACCAAGAGCTTTTCAAGGAGTGCATTCTGGGAACCAAATTGCTTCACTCAAACCAATGATCGCCGCCTATCCATTTTAGAAAAACCTGGTTCCAAACTCGCTACAATTCGTCCCTTTTTTTTTTTTTCATTTAGGTCACAATTGAACCATAAAAGACTCAACTTCCCTAGAGGTGTCAAAAGGAGTGAACTATTCTCATCTTTTCCCAATGCTGTTTGGGTATATAAGGGTTAAATCAATATCTCGAGGCCACTTACAATTTGCCAATAAGAATCAATCCCCTTTCATTTCTTTGGGTACATAAGGGTTAAATCAAGAGCAAGTTCCCAATTTATTAGATTCTTGCCTTTTTTTTTTTATAAATTCTTGTTAGGATTTGAAGTTGTTGGCAGTCTTTTGACAAAACTATTATTGTAAAAGAGTTTTTAAAAGTCAAAGGATTAAGTTAGAAGTCCTAGAGTTCGAGTATGGAACAAAGGAGTAAACGTCGCCACAATTTCGCTAGCCTATCGCCCAGTTGTTGCTCGAGCGATAAAAACAGAAGTTTGGTCGCCCGTCGTTGCCTGGACTTCGCTCGAGCGAGACACCATTGCTCGCATGTCACTTAACTCTTCCTCGAGCGACAGTGTTTCATTTCTTTGGTTATCTAGAGGTCAAATCAAGATCTAGTTCCGAATTTTGATAAGATAATGTGTTTTAGTTAGATTCTTACCTTTTTATTTTATCAAGTGTAAATTAACTTGTTATTATGCACAACTCGTCGTATCACTAACCCTTTAAATCACTTAATTATAAATGATGCTCAAATCCCAGATAGAATAAGGAATCGACTTGGCTCATGTTCGACCACCATTTCTTAAAATTCATTTTTCTTAAACTCATTTTCAATCATGCTCCATAATTTTTATTAACTTTTTGACCACGTCAATTTTATCCAAATCTACTAAAAATCTATTTTTTTTGAATCAAAACTAAACAAGTGCTTAAACTTGCTTAAGTGGGACCGAGTTTGTAAGCGTTATTGCATAGGTGTAGACTTCTTTGATCCACCATTTTAAAGCCGTGTAAAGATTTGGTGGAGAACGTCAACTATTGAAACAAACATTACAACAAACAATAATAGTTTAACATTGTGACTCTTGTGAATTACTCATTTCTACTCGAGCTCCATCGTGGACTATTTTCAACCCATCAAAAAAAAAAAAAACCGAAAGGTTCGAGTGGAACAAAACAAACGATGTCTAGCCAAGAGCACCTTTATTCCTATATAAATAAGATATAGCGTGGAAGTAAACATGTTATTAACAGAACCTTCTTCAAAAGGGTTTAAAGGGTATGTTACATAACAGATATATTGTTCTACTTCTAGTTGTGGTGGTCCTCCCAGACCTTCGGGGTTTTACGAAAGAATCAAAATTTAAATCTCACCCGAATTGCTCCATCTATCTTCTTGAGGAGAGGTTGGTTTCAAACCTCGATTCAA